TCAAATGAAGGGCCACGCCCTTTTCCAAGGGGAGATAAATATGAATTAGAGAAAAATTAATGGCATTTTTAGCTCACCTGAGCCGAATGCTCAAGTGAGCTTTTCTGATCACATTTTGTCTGTAGTCCGTCTGTCTGTCTGTCTGTAAACTTTTCACATTTTCGACTTCTTCTCAAGAGCCGCTTGGCCAATTTTAACCAAACTTGCCACAAAGCATCCTTGGGTGAAGGGGATTCAAGTTTGTTCAAATGAAGGGCAACGCCCTCATTCAAGGGGAGATAATTGGGAATTGATAAAAATTTGGTGGCATGTTTTAAAAATCTTCTCAAGAACCACAGTGCCAGGAAAGATGAAACTTATGTGGAAGCATCCTCAAGTAGTGTAGATTCAAGTTTTTTCAAATCATGACCCCCGGGGTAAGGATGGGGCCACAATGGGTAATCAAAGTTTTACATAGAATTATATAGGAAAAATTCTTTAAAAATCTTGTTATCAAGAAAAACAAAGCCATAATTGATCATATTTATTTGGAAGCATCCTCAGGTAGTGTAGATTCAAGTTTGTTCAAATCATGACCCCCGGGGGTAGGGCGGGACCACAATGGCCGACCAAAGTTTTACATATAAATATATAGGAAAATTCTTTAAAAATCTTCTTCTCAAGAACCACTGTGCCAGTTTAGATGAAACTTATATGGAAGCATCCTCAGGTAGTGTAGATTCAAGTTTGTTCAAATCATGACCCCGGGGGGTAGGGCAGGGCCACAATGGCCGACCAAAGTTTTACATAGAAATATATAGGAAAATTCTTTAAAAATCTTCTTATCAAGAAAAACAAAGCCATATAATTTATCATATTTATATGGAAGCATCCTCAGGTAGTGTAGATTCAAGTTTGTTCAAATAATGACCCCCGGGGGTAGGGCGGGACCACAATGGCCGAGGAAAATTTTACATAGAAATATATAGGAAAATTCTTTAAAAATCTTCTTCTCAAGAATAACAAAGCCATAATTGATCATATTTATATAGAAGCATCCTGCGGTAGTGTAGATTTAAAGTTTGTTCAAATCATGACCCCTGGGGGTAGGGCGGGGCCAAAATGGCCAACCAAAGTTTTACATAGAAATATATAGGAAAATTCTTTAAAAATCTTCTTCTCAAGAATAGCAAAGCCATGATTGGTCATGGGACTACTTTTGGATTTAAACATTTCAATAATAAACCAATTTCTACTCAGGTGAGCGATGTGGCCCATGGGCCTCTTGTTAAAAAATCTTCTTCTCAAGAACCACTGGGCCAGGAAAGATGAAACTCATGTGGAATCATCCTCAGGTGGTGTAGATTCAAATTTGTTCAAATCATGACCCCCGAGGGTAGGGTGGGGCCAAAATGGCCACTCAAAGTTTTACATAGGAATATATAGGAAAAATCTTTAAAAATCTTCTTCTTCTCAAGAACCATTGAGACAGGAAAGATGAAACTCATGTGGAATAATCCTCAGATAGTGTAGATTCAAGTTTGTTCAAATCATGACCCCTGGGGGTAGGGTGGGGCCAAAATGGCCGATCAAAGATTTACATAGGAATATTTAGGAAAAATCTTTAAAAATCTTCTTCTCAAGAACCACTGGGCCAGGAAAGATGAAACTCATGTGGAATCATCCTCAGGTAGTGTAGATTCAAATTTGTTCAAATCATGACCCCCGGGGGTTGGGTGGGGCCAAAATGGCCGATCAAAGTTTTACATAGGTATATATAGGAAAAATCTTTAAAAATCTTCTTCTCAAGAACCACTGGGCCAGGAAAGATGAAACTCATGTGGAATCATTCTCAGATAGTGTAGATTTAAGTGTGTTTAAATCATAACCCGTGGGTGTAGGGTGGGGCCTAATGGCCACTCAAAGTTTTACATAGGAATATATAGGAAAAATCTTTGAAAATCTTCTTCTCAAGAACCATTGAGACAGGAAAGATGAAACTCATGTGGAATTATCCTCAGGTAGTGTAGATTCAAGTTTGTTCAATCATGACCCCCGGGGTTAGGGTGGGGCCAAAATGGCCGACCAAAGTTTCTCATAGGAATATATAGGGAAACCTTTTAAAATCTTCTTTTCAAGTACTTCAAAGCCATGATTAGTAATATTTATATGGAATTGTCCGCAGGTAGTGTAGATTTCGAGTTCATCCAAATCATGATCCCCGGGGGGGGGGGGTTTAAAATTTAAGCCCCTCCCCCCCCCCCCCCACAACCTTATAAAACTTTCAGTTCTGATCTGATATGTGCTTTTTCCTAGCTGATGTGCTCAGGTGAGTGCTGTGGCCCATGGGCCTCTTGTTTGAGTTTATTTTGGGGGGATTTGCAATTGACCCGCCTATTGCAAATCGTCAGTACAACTTTTTTGCCAGAATCATTTGACATTTTATATCAATGCACTGATATTTATGCCCCCCTTCGAAGAAGGAAGGGCATATTGCTTTGCTGCTGTCCGTCGGTCTGTCGGTCCACTTAGTTTCCGTTCATTTTCTTCACAACTATTGCACATACTGAAATGAAATTTAGTATACAGATTTATCAGATGAATATCTGGGCCAAGTTCTGTTTTGGGTACGATCGTGCCATTTTTTACAGAGTTTTGCCCTTTGGACTTAGAAAAATTCCAATTATAATTTATGCATTTGTCCTTAAGGAGATATGAGTGGACATGTATCCAGTTAAAGATAATTAATGACCTTAGTGTGGGAAGTTGGGCATCTCTGATCATGTGTTATCTATATCTCCTGAGAATTTGATAACAGAAGGAAAGATCTCTCTTCTCTAATTCTCTTAATTGTAATTTATTGCCTGTCAAAACATTTATTTACCAGCCTTTGATGCCCCCCTTCAAAGAAGGGAGGGCATATTGCTTTGCTGCTGTCTGTCGGTCCATTTAAATAAGTAAATTTTTTTTAAAAAAAAAATAAGTCTTTTAAATTTTAAATTTCATAATCCTAAAAAATGTATAAATATAGTTGTATCCTTATTCAAAAAATGTTAAACTAAGTAAAAACTTATTTTTTCATATTCATATACTTTACAGCAATCTGTAACAAATGTTAATGTTTTGAGAGGAATTCAGTTTGTCCCATGGGCATAATTATCAAGCACTGGTCAAGAAGAATTTTGATAGCAGAAATTTGCAGGTCAAATTAGAGAGAAATTAATGAGTTTATTGTCAGGAGCTAATTGGTAGTCTAAAGCAAGAGCATCTCTAGATCTGATCATGCAGCTGTGTTATCTTAATTTATCTCGGGGGAGTTGGGTAAAAAGAAATGGCCTCATAGTTGCTTGTGTTAATTAAGAGTTCTTGTTCAGATAAAGATCTTTCAATTGGTGTAGTGTAATTAAAACAAATTGATGTTTTAGTGTATGATTAAAACTAAATTATTATTGTTTAATATAATTAAAACTAATTATGCCCTCCTTTGAAGGAGGGAGGGCATATTGCTTTGCTGCTGTCTGTCGGTCTGTCGGTCCACTTAGTTTCCGTTCATTTTCTTCACAACCGTTGCACACACAGAAATGAAATTTGGTATACAGGTATATCACATGAATATCTAGATCAAGTTCTGTTTTGGATACGATCGCACCATTTCTGACACAGTTATGCCCCTTGGACTTAGAAAAACTTCAATTATTTGCAGTTTTCGTTCATTTTCTTCGCAACTGTTTAATAAATGAAATTTGATATACAGATATATCACATGAAAATCTAGGTCAAGTTCTGTTTTGGATATGATCACACCATTTTTGACAGAGTTATGCTCCTTAGACTTAGAAAAATTCCTGTTATTTGCAGTTTCTGTTCATTTTCTTTGCAACCGTCGCACATACTGAAATGAAATTAAGCATACAGATATATCATTGATATCTAGGTCAAGTTCTGTTTTGGGTACGATTGCACCATTTTTGACAGAGTTATGCCCCTTGGACTTTGAAAAAATTTCAAATTATTTGCAGTTTCCTTTCATTTTCTTTGCAGAGGTTGCACATACAGAAATGAAATTTGGTACACAAATTTATCAGATAAATATCTTGGTCAAGTTCTGTTTTGTGTATGATCGTGCCATTTTTGACAGAGTTATGCGCTTTGGACTTGTAAAAATTCCAATTTGGGGGGAGGGGGGCATAAGTGTTTTACAAACATCTCTTGTTTTAGCTGTTTTTATTAATATTTTTCGAAATAACGCTGATATTTAGTTTTAAATCATTAAACAAATAATTAATGCACAAAATAAAACCATTATAATAAGTGAATAATTGTACTATATGTGTAATTTTTGAATGCATAAACTATTATACATATATAGGCTTTGTTCTTCAGCAATTGTCTGAAATATATATGGAATGCTACATTTCACTTTACAGAAAACTACCAATATCTTTATGACTCGCCTATAAGTCGGACATAGAGTTTTGGACTAAAATTTAACTCCCAAAATATCGACTTATAGGCGAGTATATACGGTAGATTAACTTAACATTATATGCAATGCTATATTTAGATCACTGGGCCTTTGTGACGTCAAAAAACCACAAATTAAATCAAAAACAATCTATATGTGGGTAAGAAAAGTGACAAGTGTAAATACTTCATACCTTTATTTTTCAGAAGACAAAGGCCAAAAAAATACTTTTCGTAATTCAACATTGATTTTCTTTCATAGATATCTTTAGGTCTAAAAAGTGAAATGACAGGGTTAAGAATCATTTCCGATGGCCTTTAAGTGGAAAAATAGAGGTGCAATGTAAAAGGTTTTAACAAGTGTGTTTGAACAAGATATCTTCTTCTAACAGTTTGTTTTACTCCAATGGAACTCCATGGATCCCTTACAATGTAGAATTTTATTCTTGTTTCATATTCTCATTTTTTTTTTTAGGTATACCCCTTCATCAATTCTAGTCAAACTAAATGAAAACAGATGTCCTTTTAAACTTCCATGATTTTTGTTGTAATTGTAGGTAGCATTGAGGCACAGATGCATCATTTTCTTTGGATGCTGGAAAATGTACAAGAACATTTCATTCAGCATGTCCTTATAGTATTTCCAAATAAGGAAACGCTCAAAAGCTATTCTGAGAATCAGAAGCCTGATGTTAAATTGGGTAAGTGATAAATACATTTGTTTGATAATACTGATAAACTTCATTATCTTGAAGTTGACAGGACCATTGATGCACTTCGATATATCTTGGGGTTGGACATATTGAGGGTTATTACCGTCTTCCTTGGAAGACGGTATTGTATAGTTGAAGTTTTTTACAGTCTTCGGACTATGCACTTCCTCTCTTTTGTGATTGGTAGAAATTGCATGATGAGAAAATTTTCAATTATTTCATTGGTTGAAATGTTGTTCAAGGCAAGGGAGATAACTTTCTGATGATCTGTTTTTCGTACGACTTAACAATTTTGCAAGATTTCCAATCTTAAAAAAATGACAAAACGAACAACAAAATCAGCAGTAATTATTTCTTAATAACATGATATTTTTTATAGCAATAAATAAAAAGGTCTCTTTAATTTCATTATAAATAAAATTTGATAGTTATTGCTTGCAGGCTTTACAATTTGTTATTATTCTTTTCCCCTTTCTTGTTTGAAGAGTGAATGGGAATCAGCCGAGGTTTGCCGAAAGCTCTCGGCCAGTCAAAGTTTACGGAGATGACCGAGCGACAACCGTGGTAGGGCTAATGCCCGTAAAAAGCTAATTTAGAAATACAAAATCAAGAAATTCAAAAGAATTATACGGCATGTTAAGTGTAGATCTGTTTACTGTTTAAAATTGTTGCTATAGACGGTAAGCTTTTTTGAAAAGCTCTACTTGTAATTAAATTGAATTTCAAATAAACTTAGTGTAGTAAATGCTTTAAATGCATAGTTATAGGATAGCATGTCAAATATTTCTGATCACATTTCATTCCTCTGTTGGTCCATCTGTTATCTTTTCAGATTTTCATCTTCTTCTCAAGAACCGCTGAGCAAATTTCAACTAAACTTAACACAAAATATTTTAGGTAAAGGAGCTTTAATGTTATTCAAAACAAGGATAACTAATGCCCTCTTTCAAGGGGAGATAATTAAGAATAAGTGAAAGAATGCTGACAATATTTCAAGTCTTTTCAAAAAACCATTGGGCCAGAATAATTGAAACTAATGTGAAACCTTTAATACATACCAATAGTGTAGATTCAAATTTCAAATCATGACTGGACCACAATAGGGGTCAAATCATCAAATATGAATTTATTGGGAAAATCATTGAAAATGTTCTTCTCCAGAAGAACAATGCTGTGTAAGTCATATTGATAGAAAATATCCATAGGTAGTGAAGATCTAAGTTTGTACAAATCATGACCCCCCTTCAAGACTAGTGTGTTGTGGGGTGACAATGGGGAATCAAATATTTATATAGAAATATCATTAAACAACTTCCTCTCAAGAACAACAAGTCATACTGATTTTGATGGAAGCATCCTCAGGTAGTGTAGATTTAAGTTTGTTGTTTATAACATACCATATAATCCCTATTAACAGCCCTGGGCACTTAGAAAATTGCGAAAAGGGGACGGTTATTTTGGTACCGGTATTCTCTTTAAAATATTAAATATCATATTTTAACTTCAAAAGATCTTTTGAAAAAAAAAAAATTCAAGGAATCACTGAATAAGTCTAACATTACTTTAAATTATTCAGTTTCCACTGAGAAATTGGATAAACATAATAGACAAGTTTCATGTTTACTTTCTTCAAATTTTTTATATGATTCTATATGATTTTAATCACTGTGCAGGGGGCCCTTATTTCCTGACAATTGAAAAAGACCTAAGGGGGTGCTTATAGGGGCAGGGGCGGTTCATAGGGATTATACAGTATTTTATATTGATTAAATTAAAAGGATTGGAAACAAGTTCTGTACAGCTTACTTACTATTAGTTCCTCCCCTTATATACTGTAAAATCACATATTTTGGTGGAGTAAAATTTTTTAGGTTTTAGGAAAAAATCTTGGTTTGGAGGTACTTGATTTTGTGGATGGAGAATGTTTTAATAGTGTTGTATACTGTGAAATCACAAATTTTCATGGGGGGTTAAATTTCGTTGTTTCGAGGTACGACGAGACCCACGAATTCATGTCCACCACAGAATGTAAAATGTTACATAATAATATATAAGTACTCATTAATTCTTGATCCACGAAATCAAATCCCCCACGTACCAAGAGATTTTCCTCAAACCACGAAAATTTGATCCCACGAAAATACGTGATTTTTCAGTATTAAATTTTTACATTTCATCGTTGTCATAAATTCATGGGTCCCTTCTTGCCTCAAAAACAATGAAAATTAAACCCCCATGAAAATTAGTGACTTCACAGTGTTACAATATGCCATGCGAATTAAAGAAAAATAATAAAATTAATACAAGAAAAAAAAAAATAAAAACAATGTAATATAATTTTAATATATCATCTAGAGAATCTACATGTTTCATCAAATAAATAAATTTTTGAACAGCAGCAAAAATACTATTATTTATCTGTAAAGGAAAATAGTATCACCACATAATAATAGATTTGTATCAAAAGAGACCAAGTCAAACACGAACTTAACGATTATAAAGAGTTAACCTAGCATTAGAATAATTTATATATGCAAAAAAGAAATGGTAGTACACATCTTCATTTTATCAACATAAACATAATGGACTATTTACAATGTTTCGTTTATATAGATCATAGTTTTAAGTATACAGTAATGCCATAACTTGGTATGGATGTTATTTGTGTATTGTTTACCAAAAGAAAAGTATGACAGTGAATTACCCATTTTTGTTTTGAGGTTTTATCGGAATGTTGTGATTGGGAATCAAAGTTTTACATATGAATATACATATAAATGATGTTATGATGAGCAAGAGTGCTTATTCCAGAGTAGTGAAAAATCTGTAAACATCTTATCTTCATTTTGTAATATGTACCACTGCAAAGCCATGATTAATCATGATTAACCACAGATAGTGTAATTTTAAGTTTATTCAAATCTAACCCACACACCCATCCCAGCACAAAAAGGCAATGACTAGTCTCACTGATATGGAAGCAGCCTCAGGAAGTGTAAGATTCAATTTTGCAAGAATCATGGGTTAAGTGGGAAACATCTTCAAAATTCTTTTCTAAAGAACAAGTCCATGATTAGTCATATGAAATATGGAAGCATCTTCAGAAAGTTTGGACTCGGTTTTGTTTAAAACATTGACATGGGTGTAGAGTGGAGCAGAACAGGCAATGAAACTTTCATTTTGCTGATGAAAAATGACAGGGCCATATTTAATTAGGTGAGCATTATGGTCCATGGGTCTCTTGTTTCTTGTATTTCAATAAGCAGTGTTATGTTATTACTGGACTTTTACGGAAGCCTTGACTTTTACAGTTGTCTGTTTACTTGGACATTTAAACCTGTATTATATACAAAGGAACAGAATTGATAATATATAAAACCTTTCTAATGGTCATAGGTATGGTGTTTTGGGCACTATCATGTGAAGGCAGGGGGTTGAGGGTAGGGTAGTTGTTTTCTTCATGGACACTTATCTGTGCTTTGAAATGCCCCCTTATTTTGTGTTGAGCTAACATGTGAAGGCTGGGAGTTGAGGGTAGGGTGGTTGTTGTTTTCTTTATGAGCACTCGTCTGTGCTTTTAAATGCCCCATTATTATGTGTTAATTTGAATGTTGAGCTCAATTTTTATATCATAAAACAGCTTCTGTACATTGTCCTAGTGTTAAAGTAAGCCGTCAACTGTAAAAGTCAGCGTTCCTCACAAAAATCCATTAATAATATAAAATATAAGTTTATATAAGATATGAGTTGCAGAGACTAAATGTGATCCAATATTATTAGCCAATGAACAGAAAATTTAAATATTATAGTAAATACATGTACATGTACATGCATATAATACTATTAAACTGTTCTTTGAACATTTCTTTAATATGCACTCATCTTTTATAGGCCCCTTGAAAAGTGGCAGAAGAAAATTTTTAGCTCCCATCATGTATGAAATATCTGGCAATGCTCAAGATGTATCCCAAGCTAAACAGGAGCTTCGTAGTATTTTAACCAAGGTAACAGATTGTAGTTTCAATGAAAAAAAAGGATTTTTCTGAGAGCTGAGTAACTGAGTAAGCTTGTACATATTTGGAGATCGGAAATAATATGGTTTGATATATTTTTAGCTCACCTGAGCCAAAGGCTCAAGTGAGCTTTTCTGATCAAAATTTGTCCATTGTCTGTCGTTGTCATTATCGTCGTTGTTGTCGTCGTCTTTGTTGTTGTAAACTTTTCACATTTTCATCTTCTTCTCAAGAACCACTGGGCCAATTTCAACCAAACTTGCTACAAAGTATCCTTGGATACAGGGGATTCACGTTTGTTCGAATGAAGGGCCACGCTCTTTTCCAAGGGGAGATAATTATGAATTAGAGAAAATTAATGGTATTTTAAAAAAAATCTTCTTCTCAAGAACCACTGGGCCAGGAAAGATGAAATTCATGTGGAATCATCCTCAGGTAGTGTAGATTCAATTTTCTTTAAATCATGACCCCCAGGGGTAGGGTGGGGCCAAAATGGCTGATCAAAGTTTTACATAGGAATATATGGGAAAAATCTTCAAAAATCTTCTTCTTCTCAAGAACCACTGGGCCAGGAAAGATGAAACTCATGTGGAATCATCCTCAGGTAGTGTAGATTTAAGTTTGTTCAAATCATGACCCCCGGGGGTAGGGTGGGGCCAAAATGACTGATCAAAGTTTTACATAGTAATATATGGGAAGAATCTTTAAAAATCTTCTTCTCAAGAACCACTGGGCCAGGAAAGATGAAACTCATGTGGAATCATCCTCTGGTAGTGTAGATTCAAGTTTGTTCAAATCATGACCCCGGGGGGTAGGGTGGGGCCAAAATGGCCGATCAAAGTTTTACATAGGAATATATGGGAAAAATCTTTAAAAATCTTCTTCTTCTCAAGAACCACTGGGCCAGGAAAGATGAAACTCATGTGGAATCATCCACAGGTAGTGTAGATTCAAGTTTGTTAAAATCATGACCCCCGGGGGTAGGGTGGGGCCAAAATGGCCGATCAAAGTTTTACATAGGAATATTTAGGAAAAATCTTTAAAAATCTTCTCAAGAACCACTGGGCCAGGAAAGATGAAACTCATGTGGAATCATCCTCAGGTAGTGTAGATTCTAGTTTGTTCAAATCATGACCCCTGGGGGGTTAAAATTCAAGCCCCCCACCCTCAGTAAACATTCAGTTCTGATCTGTGCTTTTTCCTAGCCAATTGCTCAGGTGAGCGATATGGCCCCTGAGCCTCTTGTTTCTCAAAGTTTCATAAATAGGACATTCAAGCAAAAAATGATATTCATCTTTTATACAATGATCACTACAAAATTCTATTGCTTCTTTCAATTTTCTGATATCTTCCTGTTTCTATGCTTAAGTTATGGGAAGAGAGCCTTATTCTTGTAATATTTTTCTTTAACTAAGAATAAACAGATTTTGTCAAATATGCATGGATTTTTGAAAAATTGTGCTTGTACAAAAAAAAAAACCACTTGATTTTTCAAAAAAAGAAAAGAAACAAAAACAAAAAACATTACAATCTTGAAGGTGGATATCCAACAATCTTTTCTTGTACAAAGATATAAACTGTTTTGTTTAAATAAAATCTTGATTAAACCAAAAATTTCCAAGTCCAATTCTAAACAACTCATCTTTATCATGCCTTGCCCAATTAATTTTAGAATGTAATTTATTTTCTGTATTGTGCAATAGATATTAATTCAAAAGAAGATCTCAATATACAGTTATTTGTATGAAGTGATTTACACCAGTATTTCATAATTCTGATTTTCCTGGATATGATTAATGGATATACAGTATGCAGTAAAAATGTTGGGGAAGGGGATAATTTAGAGATACTTTTTACTAACCTACTGACTGGAGTTTTAGAAAATAATCAAGTAAAATAAAAGTGGCCCAATATGAGTACACAGTGTGTCTAATGTTTAGTTTCTTTTGCAGAATGAAGAAAAGAAGAAAGTAAAAAATTACAAAACGTGTAGTAAGTTCTTACATCAGCCTCTCTTTAATCATTTGTGCTTGTCTTTTTTTACATAGGGGCTCTACAAATATTTTGGTCTTGGAGATCAATTTATTATTGGATTGACTCTATAAATATTTTTTTTTCATTTTTTTAGATTCATTTCTTCGTGAACAAGGTAATTTATATAGTTAATGCTTATAATTCAATTTCAGTGGAAAATGATACTCTTTTCATGTACAAACTCATTATTAAGCTAAGTTAAAAATTCTGCACAAAATTAACATCATGCAGACAGCTGCTTAGAAATCAATTTAAAATATTACACGATTCTCCGGGGCGGAGTTAAAAGCTTGTAGTACACAAGGTGGGTATAATTCTCTTTTAAAAGTTATGAAATAAAGAATTCTCTAATTTTCTTCATTGTCTTCATACTAATTTACAAAATTATCGATTGCGTAAGTTATGAAAATCTGCATGTGCAATTATAAAAGCTATTTTAAGTTAAAGCAGACAGAAATTTGCTTTGTTGTCGGTGACACATTGAGTGCAGTACATTGGAATATTATATAATAAATATTGCATGAATTGAGTGTAACATTGAAAATTTTCACCCCAAGAAAACCATTGTCAACTGAGGTGCAGCCGAGGTTGATTATGGTTTTCCAGGAGTGAAAATTTTCAATGTTACACTTAATTACGTGCAATACTAGTATTTATGATATTAAACTGAATGTTTTACAAATACATGTTACTGTGAACCTTGCACACATACACATAAATTCTGTGCAGTAACTTAACTTTTTTTTCTGAATATCACCTGTCGTCAAGCAATGTAGACTGTTGCTATATTGGAGAGTGTGGCTTGGGGTAGCAGTGTTTTTAACAATGTGCCTTGTTGATTCAGATTCAACAAATTAACATGAAAGTATAATATTAGACTGAGTGTATAACACAGTAGCATTCCATACTTGGTGGAGATACTTTCACACTGAAAGTCATTGTATCGTTTCAACCGTATGGTGAAAAATAGTTTTGGTACTAAAATAGTTTAGGCCTAGTGAAGTAGTATAAATTTATGATAATGTTTACTTTTTGATATGCATTTTAATTTAGAGAAACGTACATTCCCGTTTTGCACACATTTGATAAATATAGGTATAAAACTATAGGTGTGAAATGTGTTTTTATAACAATTACAGTCTGATTTCTGGTTAGGATTTACCTGGGTTTACCTGTATTTTACCTAATATACATCCTGAACAGGAAGAATAAATATTAATTTAATGTATATATTTTTTCTGCAGAAAGTGAATTTATTGAATTTTTATTTAAAGGTACTTGGACACAGATTTGAAGTTAATATTTTCTGTATAATATCATGAATTATATATTTTGATAGAATTTCACATAAAAATTAATTAAAAATCTTATTTCATTTAAAAGTTATTAAAACTTAAAATTTTTTGGTGGTTTTGATTGACATATCCTTGCACCTTCACATATTTTAACTTTTTTCTTAATCCTTTGGAAAAGTGGCAATCTTGTTGTGTATTAATGAGAAATATTAAAACTTAAATCCAGAAAAATAATTTTATTCAAAGTAGAAATGTTAGAAAGCAAAACTCCTTCACAAGTATCATCATTCCGTTGTGTACAGAGTTTAGCAAATCGAGCACACTCATGTTACGTGCACAGTTTTTGTAAACAGGACACAAGGTCTATTATTGTTTGATACCACAACTGCACGGACTGACAATATATTGTGTGTTTGTTTTGCTTTCGATTGACGAACATGTCTACTCTGAATTTTCTGGATTATAGTATTAATATTTTTCATTAATACACAACAAGATTGCCACTTTTCCTAAGGATTAAGAATAAAGTTAAAATTTGTGAAAGTGCAAGGATGTGTCAATCAAATCCAGCAAAAAATTTAAAATTTTAATAACTTTTAAATGAAATAAGATTTTTAATTAACTTTTGTGTGAAATGCTATTAAAATATATAAGTCGTAATATTATAGAGAAAATATTAACTTCAAATCTGTGTCCAAGTACCTTTAATATTTATTATTACATTTAAAAAAAATGACTGCCATTTCTTGAAAAATTAACAAATAATACTTAAAGCTGATAATTCAGAATTGACACCCGATTACTATTCAAGATTAATTATTTAGTGTAAATTTCTATTTTGTTATAAAAGTAAATATTGAAATTATTGAAAACTTGTAATGCACATAATAATTTTTGGTCTTTTGATTTCTAAAAATTTACAATTCTCTCCTATAGGTTCACCTTTCCCTATCTACCAACTTAGGTGTAGACTATACCAATTAACTAATTATGTCACCTGGTCAAATTCCCATTTTGCACACATTTTTCTCTGTCTGAAATTTAAATGTGTGCAAAACGGGAACAAACCATATTTGGTATCTGATAAAATATATGTGATCCGTTTAACTATTAACTATATAGACGATTAAAATGAAATGAAAGAAAAAAGGTATGGTTTCAATACAAATAATGCCCTGGGATTTTCTTAAAAACTAACATGAAGTAAGAGATGGAAACTCTTGCTTTCTGAATCATTGAAATTCCATGTTGAAAAATCATACAAACTATTTTTCTCACATGCATTTATAAATGCTAATTGTGAGGTGATAAACATGTGCATTTTCCCGTATTTTCTTAAAAATGTGCAGAAGACACCAATCTTCAATAGAATTTTCTTTCAGATAATATTGTCCACAGGGATCGCCCACAAAATTTTTTGGAGAGATATATGATTTTTCATTGAATTTTGCACAACATATCGAAAAAGTAAACTGGGCGATGGCTGTGGACAGTATTTTCTGAAGGAAAATTACCCTTGAAATGGGTCATTTTCAGGCTTTTTCTGTTTAAAGTAGAGAAATGCATCAAATTAATGACGTCATATTTCCAGAATGGTACTTCTGTACGCCCTATTCTTTTCTGATCTATCAAGTCATAAACTCGACTTATATTTAAGGTAGTTTCAAACCTTTTTTAAAACAAGATTACGTGAGATCTTATCCCATAACAAACTCGGACTATGACTAAGTCGGACTATTACGGAGTCGGCCTACACAAACTCGGCCTATAACATAATACAACTAAAACTTTTAATATGTACTTTGAATGAATTTATTTACTAATATTTATATAGAAAATAACATAGGTGTAATTAATTAACTTTTTATTTTGCAAATCAGTTAATGATATTTTTACACTACTCCCGTGAAATTTTCATATTTTAAAAGTGCATCTATTAGAGTAAACGTTAGAATACGCAGGTAAAGTCTTATAAAAGTATATAAGATTAAGTTAACGCAATAAAATTTCTGCAGATATATTTTTTAGTATTTAAAAATATTATATATATTTTTAACTTGTGTTATTTTTATGCAGTGGAAATTTCGAGAATATTTATGTTAAATTGATGCATGTATTTGATACAGAATTCAGTGACACAAGAAAGTAAATTATTATTGTTTGGATAAGTGAAATAATCGTGTCTTTTTAAAAAATGTACCACTGTAGTTAGATCAGCACTTGGTGTATGATTTAGCAGACCTATTTTTATATTCATATGAAGCAGAATTTGTGCAAAATCTTATGCGTGAAAAGAAGAAAACACTTGCTGTGGCCTTCAACTCGACATTTAGATACAGTATATCTACGACGTATTGTCAATTAACAATGGTAATTTCCATTCTTACGTCGATACGTAATATCCTGGTGAGCTTGAGATAAAAGATACATGTACCACCGAGTCTGACACATCTGTTTCATACTTGGATATTTTACTTGAAAAAGATGTTAATGGTAATATATCAACCAAGCTATATGATAAACGTGATGACTTTATATTTTTCTATTGTCAACTTCCCTTATGCAGCAATATACTTTCATCACCTGCATACGGAGTATTATATACATGTATCTCAGTTGATTCAATACGCAAGAGCATGCTCTACGTTTGAGCAATTTCTGAAACGAGGTAAATTATTGACAAGCAAGTTGATGAAACAAGAATATCAGCAGTCTCGTTTAAAGTCATCATTTTGTAAGTTCTATGGTTGATACAATGACCTTGTCATCAAATACAATTTATCATCGAGTCAAATGCTGACTGACGTTTTTCATACTAATTGTTAATTAGTCCATTATTATACCTCCCGCAAACGAAGTTTGGGGGGGGGTATATAGGAATCACCTTGTCCATCTGTCTAGCTGTCCATCTGTCTGTGCAAACATGTCCAGTCCATATCTTTCTTACGAAGGAACATTAGAATCTATTACTCACACAAAGGTTGCCTATGACCCAAGGGTGTGTCATGACCTTGAACCAAGGTCATTTGGGGAAGTTCAAGGTCACTGGAAGAAAAATTTCATAATTTGTGTCCAGTCCATATCTTTCTTATGGATAAACTTGGTAGGTTCTCATTTCACACAAAGATTGCCCATGACCTAAAGGTGTGTCATGACCTTGACCCAAGGTCATTTGGGGAAGTTCAAGGTCACTGGAAGAAAAATTCCATAATTCGTTTCCGGTCCATATCTTTCTTATGGATAAACTTGGTAGGTTCTCATTTCACACAAAGATTGTCCATGACCTAATGGTGTTTCATAACACCCAAGGTCATTTCGGGAAGTTCAAAGGTCACTGGAAGAAAAATTTCATAATTCGTGTCCGGTCCATATCTTTCTTATGGATAAACTTGGTATGTTCTCATTTCACACAAAGATTGCCCATGACTTAATGGTGTGTCATGACCTTGACCCAAGGTCACCTTTGCAAGTTCAAGGTCACTGAAAGAAAAATTGTATGATTCATGTTTGATGCATATCTTTATTATGGACAAACTTACCTCTGAAAAACCTAGAGGGGGGTGTTTTGTCCCGTTTGGACAGTTCTAGTTTAAACACTGAATTTATGACAGATTTTTCCGTTATTTCCCGATCATGACTAGGAGTACACGGTGGGTGTGAGGGATCAACAGGGGATAATTTTCAGACAGTGTAGACAATTTTTCATGTAGGCCTATTTGTATCGCGGATTTTTATCAATATCATTGATTTCTATTTCAGCTTTTACAGGGCAATATTAAAATTTTACAAGCTGTTATTTTCTTTCTTTTGCTTTCTTTCTTTCATTTTTAGGTCACCTGAGTAAACTCAGGTGACCTATTGCTATCC